TTGTAAGGCAGGAGAGCCCAGTTCCCAGATGAGGAAACCGAGGGCAGGCAGGGTCACCTGGCTCAGGAGACCGGTGCTGGGACCCAGTGCTGGAGCCTGCTGTGCAGGGGAGCTGATGGCAGCCCCGTAGGGGCGAGGGGCAAAGCCCAGGATGCTGGTGTGGGCAGGGGCTCTGCAGGTGCAAGTGTCTGACCCCCAGAGAGGACGGCTGCTGGCCCCATGCTCTGAGCAGGACAGGCAGCGCGGTGGAAGGTGGGCCTAAGGGCCAGCCCTCGCCGGTTCTGTTTTTCTCTCGGGCACCTGGCAGAGGAATCGGGGACCAGGCCCACTGCCTCCCGTGTGTGCCCACCTGAGCGGCCCCACACGTGCCAGCCTGCAACGCGGCCGTGTGTGCTCTGCCTGGAACATGGCCCGCTTGCCCGCCTGTGCCATGGGCCACGTGTGCCCACCTGAAATGGCTCAGAGCTCAGTGATGGGACACGGGCCTGGCCCAAGCAGGTGCAGAGTGGAGTGGCGCCCACCACCTCCTCCCTCGTCTGCAGTTCTCCCCAAACAGAGAAACCTCAGAGCCCTCCAAATGGCTGGCACCCACCGTCACTGTAGCAGGAGCGTGTTGGGCCAGGCTTTCTGGCTGGCCTCCGTGTCCCGGAGCCAGGAAACATCCCTGCCCTGTGCCCCAGTGGTTCCAGGAATGGCCCCACAGGGAGACCACAGAGCCACTGTTGACGCCTCTCCCTCAGCCCTGCTGACCACGGCGGGCGGGAGGGACGGCGCCTGGCCCCATGGGCCTCTGGCAGAGCAGGCGTAGCCAGGTCCAGGCGGCCAGAGAGGCGGTGCGGGCAGGGGCGAGGGCCGTCACAGAGCGGGGCGTGCTTCTCTGTAGCTGAAAATACCCCGCACAGGCCCACACCGAGGAAGGCCCGGCCTGAAAATGTGCCCGCCGTGAAGGCCGGCGCCCTGGGGAGCGGGGCCGTGGCGCTCACTCCCCTGCGACAGGCTCTCCTGGACACCGATGCCCGAGTCTGCGCTGTTGGTGAGAGGCTGTGGGAGTACGGCCCAGGGTCGGGCCTCCAGCCCTCTGGAAGCCTGGGTGTGTGTCTCCTTTTCCTTTCCCCACGGGGGACCGCAGGTGTGCACGCTTCACAGTGAGACAGGCCACCCTCTGTGGGCTCACCCCGGCCCCCTTGGGCCCTCCGGCCCTTCGGCTCTCCAGCCTGGTGTGTCCCAGGCTTACGGGCCGGGGACTCGGACATGGGGTGGAGGGGGCGGGCTGCCCTGAGCAGTGCGTGACTGCTGTGCCGTGGAGCCAGCCCCCGTGTTTCCGTGAAGCCCCTGTGTCTCCCGGCAGGGTAAGAACACTGTCTGCTCCGCCGCTAAGCAGGGGAAACCGAGCCAGAGAGAGGGCGGTTCCCTGAGGCCGCAGCTGCCCTGAGCAGTTGGCCGCCAGCTCCTTCCCGAGGCCCGGGGTCTGCCGCGGCAGTTTGGGGCGGGGTGGCTGTAGTTTTACGGCAGTCTTCCACCACGGGGGGTTGAGAGGCGTGCAGGAAGCAGGCTGAGCCGAGTCTGCTTGGGCCCCTGTGCAGCCCTTCACGCACACACCTCCTGAGACCTCCTGGGAGCCCCTCGCATACACGCATACACCGACAGGGTCAGCTGCAGATATGCAGGAAGCCGCTCCCAGCCCCCTGCCCTGGCCACAGGTCACACCCAGCCCCAGCAGGCCCTCCAGGGCAGCCCGCCCCAGGAGCCCACCTCTGGCTTCCTGCGGCTGGAACTTTGCATCAGTGGTCCGTGCTTGCGTGTGGAAGGTGAGCCAGGGAGCGGCCGGGGGAAGCCGAGGGTTCTGCAAACAGAGAGGAAGCTGCCCCCCTGAAGGCCGATTTGCAGAAAGGGCTGTCCTGGGGCAGTCTTGTCCAGGGTGGCAAGGCCAGAGCGCCGCCAGCTGACCCAAGCTCGGTGTCCATGAGCCGGGCCCAGGGCCCCCCAAGATCTGGGTAGGGGACCTGGAGCCCTCCCAGGGGTGGACAGAGCTCTGGACTCAGGGCTGTAGCCCTCCAGGAAGGCCTGGTTCCCCGAGCTCCTTATGGTACCCCCAGAGCCCAGCTCCTCACACCGCAAATGAAGGGTCCCGTGGACGGGTCAGAAGCTGTGCTCACACAGAACGGAGTGCTCGGGGCTGGCGTGTGCGTGTGCGTGTGCGTGGCATCTGCAGGTGTACGTCAACGTGCCACTCTGTGATACGTGGCATGTTGAATAGCGCCCCGTGTGAGTCCTAGCTGTCGTTCGTGAAACTCACTGGCCCTGGCAGTGTTCCAAGTCTTCAGCCCCACGGCTCCAGGGCCTCGTGGCTAGAGAGCTGGATCCCACATGGCCAACCACGCAGTTCAAGTCCTCGCCCTAGAAGCCTGGAAACACTCTGAGCACATGTGCATGTATGCCCCAAGTCCTGACGGAGGGAGAGGTGGAGGAGAAGGGGTTATGGTGCGACCACACTCCACTGGGGCGTGCTCTCGCCCTCGCCCTCGCCCTCTCCTCCTCTCTCTGGCAACCGCACATGCCCTCTGGCAAATTTTTTAAAAACGTTTTAACTTGTTTAATCAGCTGGAAACTCTACAGGTGAGGAAAGTGAATGGCACAGAGAGGTTCGGTAACTTGCCCACGGCCACACAGCTAGTGCCGGCACAGCTGGGATTTGAACCTAGTCCTTGGCTCTGGAGCTCAGGGCGTCGCCTTCAGTGTGCGCCCTCATGTGCAGCAACAGCACAGACCACATGCGTGCACACGGTGGCACCGGCTGTCCTCCGTGGGCGGTAGCATTTCTCCTCAGAAGCCCCGAGGCGGGCGCTCTGGGTACCGCCCCAGGTTCCCGGTGAGGAGCCGGGGCCTGGCGAGGCTCTGCGGCCTTCTGTGCTCCCTGGGCCGACTGCGTGCCCTCGCCCAGCCGGGCCCTCTGCCCGGCCTGTGCCTTCCCTGTTGGCGCTGGGCTGGGACTGGGGGGTGTGCGAGGAGGTGGCTGGGACCGTGGCGTGGTCCGGCTGAGGGAGGTCTCCATTCAGAACCGTCCTCCCTGGGCCGGCTGGGACACTGGGACAGTGGGGTGGGGACCACCAAGATGCTCAGGCCAAGGCGTCCCTGGGGTGGGCGGACGTACATGGGCGGAGTGGAGAGCCCAGCCAGGCCGTGTGTGACCACGAGGCACGTCCTACCCGTCCTCACTGTAGACGGGGGACCGCACTCCCTGGGTGGGCAATCCGTGCACGGTTCAGTCCCTGGACCATGTGGCACCACGTGGCAGGGTCGCCGGCCTCCTGCCCGGGGCCGTGAGCTGAGTGAGCTCATACCCGTGTGGTACGGGTACAGCTGTTCAAAAGGCCTCCATTATCACCGGAGTGGGAGAAGCGAGAGTGGAAGGAGGGAGAGAAGGAAGGAAAAGAAAAGAGCCTTCTGGGGTGGGGTGAGGTCGGCAGTCAGAGAAAGCTGCAACGGGGCTGACATCTGAAGGGGTTTTGAAGGATGAATAGAGTGTGCTACTGGATAGAGTCAGGAGCGCAGTCTGCATTTGGGGCCCCCTGAGCAGCTGTGCAGGGGAAGAGGCTGGAGGAGGAAGCATGTGGAAAAAGCCCCCGGCCTGAGCATGCTCCCGCAGCCGG